AGTTTGCTTTGTAGTGAAACTTACTCCTGCATTGTTTTCCCTTTTCCTTTTTCTCCCCCAGTATGTCCAGTCTGGCTCCAAATCCAGAGTCAGCTTTTCTCACTAGTTTTCAGTCTGCCTGCACCCACTTTTCTGTTGTTACTAACTTTTTTGGTGGTGTGTTTTAGTGATTTAGTGCTTTTTGACTGGCGCTTTAGTTTATTGGCTAACTCCTGGGTTTTTTTCTCTTTCTTTAAACAGTGGTTTCAACAGTGCTTTTATTGGGCTGGAGACATTTTCCATGATGACTGTTGCCAGAGAGAGGTTATATTTCCACTCCCAAGCCCTCACCATTGCAGCAGCACAGCCACCATGAAAACACCTCTTTATCTCAGCTGGAGTAGGATGGTGTCTTCCAGATTTGCTCTGTTTCAATGAGAAAAGTACCCAGAGCTCCACAGAGATGTATCCATCGCTAAAACTAAAGTTTGAGTAAAAATCAGCGCTGCCTGACTTGCTGCTGCTGTTGAAGTGCATGTTCTAGAACTTGGGTGAAAGAGCCAGCAAACTGAAATCTTGCATATTTGTATATTCTGGAACACACACAGACAAACACCTACACACAGACCTTTTCCCCTTTTGATCACGTGTGCAACACTGAAGCCAGCACAGAGAAAAAAGTGGACACAACGACGGGCTATGTGGTGGTTAACATCGTGAGGACACCATGTGTCTATTGAGCATAACAATAATTCTTTTCAGGTTCAGGTGAAATAATTCACTGGTGTATTACCAATTGATCTCCATGATCTTCATAATCTAACTGGACACAACAGTATGGTAGTCCTTTTGTTATAATCAGCAGTGACGTCTTCTCCATGCTGCCTGTCAGGTACATTTAGACAGCAGTAGTTAATGGATGAATCACAGCCATTATTTCCTGCATGAATCACCTCTCTCTCTCTCAATGATCTATTTTTATTTCACAGGAACTTAGAAGTGATATATGTAATTAGTTTTTGTTCATGAATCCATTTCATCAATCACATTATATCATTTCTAGTTGCTTTTTCATTTTGTGTCTTAGCTTTTCAGCTCCAACATTTTGTTTGTACATCTTTATCAACCACTTCTACTCTAAACTCTGTTTTACAAGGTGCATTGGGAAGATTGGGGGAGGAGATTTGACTAAGCAGTCCAGTGTTAGTAATACAAATTAAAGAATGGGCTGCTGTCAGTGCTTGTTGGGCTGGTGTAATGTACTGTACACTGTGTAGCCTGTGTAATTATACTGACAAAAAAAATTATATTGGCCCATCGACCCACTGGGCAAATACTCGCTATGCCAGATTACCAGTCCTGTGTTAGACTGAAACAGTGAATGAGAATGTCAAGAAATAACTATTTTCTGTTGTTTAAATTGTAGAGGGTGACTTTGATGCCACACCTGAACAGAAAAATGCGAACAGTCAAGATCTCCGATGTTGTTCCTGGGATCTGCTGGAGTATCTGGAAGTCCCACAGGATCTTAGCTCAGTCATTCTCCACCACCCTAGGGGGCGTCTCCCATTTTGACCTCGGTTGGGGCCATCTAGGTCTCTGCAGGTTTGACAGGACGAGTTGCAGCAAGAAAGTCAGACGTCAGAATAAGACAAAGAGGCTTGGCTGGGCCGTGAAACACCACCATTGGACTACTGAAGACTGGAAGAAGGTATTACGGACTGATCAATCAACATTTGAAATCTTGGGATCATCACACAGGATCTTTGCGGTCGAGTAGGTAAAGGATGGTTCCACAGTGTGTGGCATCGACTGTCAAACACGGAGGAGGAAGTGTGATGGTCTGGGGCTGTTTGCCGGTGACTTGTACAGAGTGAGAGGCTCCCTGAACCAAAACCACAGCGTTGTGCAGCACCATGCAGGACCCTCTGGTATGAGC